AAATGATGATAGAGGAGGATGATATTAGTTGATGTTGACTGCAGCATTTATGATACTAATAGTAATCTTCTTTTTAGTAATATAGCAACAGTAATGTTTGTGCTATAATATTTCTCTATGAACATGATGATTTTATTGTAAAACTGTTATTTTTGTAGGTGTTGGCAGGCCATGAAGGGCCAGTTGCATGCATTCATTTTAGTCCTGTTACTGCTCTATTAGCAACGGCTTCATGGGATAAAACAGTTAAATTGTGGGATGTGTTTGAAAATAAAGGATCTAGAGAAACACTTCACTTGTCAACTGATGGTCAGTCCCTACTGTTACTAATATTATGTTTCTTTGCAGTTTTACCATATACACACTACTAAATCTATCTTTTTATAATCATAAGGTTGTCTTAATTATATTATAAGTCAATCATGACATCATCACTGCAACTCCCAGTGTTATTTGTCTATCCCCCACAGTTCAATATTTTTTCAAGTAGTGCTTGATTTTTTTAAGTTCGTGTGCAAAAAAAAACACCTAATTTATTCATCATTGCTAGGCTAGTGTTTTTACACCTAGCACTACGACGTGCCCTACACCAGCGGAAAGAAAGGAACAATCATCATTTGTTGACAAGTGGTTGAAAAATTACTTTCGTAAAACAAGGTTGCTTAGAACCTGAAGAAGCTATTTCAAATTCAAAATTAAATTTGAAAAATTAAGGAATTCCTTGGGTCAGTGGACCCTAATAATAAAATAAGGGATGAACATTTAAAGCCCCATTCCTGGCAAAATTTCAGTTAAGGAAAATCTGATTGTTATATTATATGTAAAAATGTAAAACAAGTTTGATTTTTTGTGTACCACTTAAAAAATAAATGCGGATAATTTTTTTATGCTTGATTTTGCCATAGGTCTGTGAAAGAAATATAGTAGGCGCTAGAAGCATTAGCCTCTCAACACTGCTAGGCTAGGCCTAGACTTACCTCAATCACGGTTGACATGATATTTTATGTTGCTAGTATTGACACATGTGAAATATAATATGTAATTGGAATTATTTCAAATTTGTTTAAAAAAATGATTCTGACCGAGATTTTAACAATAAACAAAAACATACCTCAGGCCTACTCGATCGATCGCAGTGTGCAAGATGCGAAAGAGAAAAACTAATCTCATTAGAGAGGGCGCTTTATTGTCTTTATAATGTATACACAAAAGAAAGAGCATTTCATCGGATGCGACCTACAACCTTTGAACTTGTCTAATAACAAAGCATTCGTCGAGAAAATGGTAATCTCCTGTGAGAAATAGTTTCTATTTCTTATTTTTTTATCTAGATGTGTAAAACTAAAATTTTGCCAATATTTTTCCATAGTTTATGATAATTAGAGTAATGCATATGCATTTTTTAAAAATGCTTTAAGGAATGCTTATTTCTTTGATGAATGTCTATCAAAATGGCATTACAAGTTCTTCAAACACTATAAAATAGTTATTAATTGTATCGGAACTGATGTGTAACGTTTTGCTAGCTGTATGTTAGCACGTACTGCAGGAGCATATTAGCATAAGCACACACAGCTAAATATAATACACACACAGAGCAGTATCATATCACTATAGCAACTGATGACTGCTACAACAGTTGGTTATCAAAACTAACATTAAAAGACAGCGATTGACTTATAAATCAATTAGTACAGTTGCATACATGGTACACTAGGTTGAAAGTTATTATACTAAGTAAGATTTAATGCATTTAAAAATTTTCCTTCTGCCCTTGCTGGCCCTCAGGAAATTTGTTCAAGCATTAAATCTAACCTTTGTATGATAATTTTCTGCTAGTGTACTATGCACAGCTCTACTAATTGCTTATTAGAAAATTTAGATTACTTTGCTTTTCTTTGCATCAAGATCCAAAATCTTAGGATGTATCATTATAAAGATTTGTTTCTCATTTATAAAGCACTTTGTGTAGCTTTTCGACCTGATGGAAAAGAGTTGGCAGTAGGCAGCCTAGATTCTCAGATAACCTTTTGGGATGTGGAAAGTGCCACTCAAACCGGATCCATAGAAGGAAAATTTGACATTGCTGCAGGTCGATCATCTTCTCAATTAGTCACTGCCAAAAAAACTGCTTCTTCAAAGTGAGTATAAAGTAATAATGTAGTGCTTCTGGTTTGGAATTGGATGAAAAGGCTGGGATTATGATTGGAAGGAATGGTTTTAGTATGGATTTATTTAAGGAATGGTTTTAGTATGGATTTATTTAAGGAATGGTTTTAGTATGGATTTATTTGATTTTTTAAAAGTTTGCTTGGTGTTTAAACTTCTTTTTGTAATCATATTGAGAAAAGCCTATCAATCCTTTAATTATTTTAATCTATATTTGCTCTTAAGCATTAAACTGAGATGTTTATTTGTTATTTTTCTTTGTTGTTGGTTGGTCATTTAACATTAAACATGTGGCACTGTTGTTTGTTTTCATATGCAGATCATTCACAAGCTTGTGCTACTCAGCTGATGGTAAGTGCCTACTTGCTGCAGGCAAATCAAAGAATGTCTGTATTTATAGTATTGCAGAGCAGATGTTACTTAAGAAGTTTGAAATATCCACCAACATGTCTCTTGATGGCATGCAAGTAAGACTTTCTGTTTCATTGACAACAATATTTTCAATTTGAAAACAAATTTACCAATTACTGACTAGCTATATAATCTGACCATCTTCGTTTGCACCGGTAATACATTTAGGTTAATATGTTGGAATAGTTTAATGTGGTTTGAATACTATAATATTGTCTGATGCAGCAGAAAAAACATTGCAAGTACGTATAATTTATTAGTGGTTTAGTAAAAACAAATTTACTTCTGGGGAACATCTATTTTATAATTAAACATTTAGGTAAAATAGGTCCACTAAATTTATCTGTATTTCAATCACTAAATTTATCTGTATTTCAATTAAACATTAATTTTGTTTTTTGCTTGAAGGAAATGTTAAATCGACATAAAATGACAGAATTTGGAGCAATGGCATTGATTGACACTGCTAGTGATGGAAGTGCAGGCCAGCATCTTTGTTTACCAGGTGTTACAAAAGGGGACATGAGTTCACGATTCTTCACTCCAGAGGCTAAAGTGTCTTGTGTGCGCTTTTCACCAACAGGTTAATTCTTCTTGTTTAAATATATTATACAATTCACATGTAACACAATGTTGTTAGGGAAAAGCAAAATAAGTATCTAATGTTGTAATTGCATGTAAAAAAAAAATCAGATTTCAGCAGTGTTTAAATTGATTGTGATTTTAATAGCAACTCTAGAAATAAACATTTAGCTTCTTGTGTAAAATTTTGTCTTGTTTCACATTGCTACTAAAGAAGGTGATTATACTTTTTAGGTTCATTATGGTTTCTGTTGATTTGAGTTACATAAACATTCAAATATATTTTAGCATTTTTAAAGTTATTAAAAGTTTACATTTAGAATAGTTATTACTGTATCAGCTTTAATGATAAATGCATTCTAAATATTTGAAAATGATGTGAACAATATCTTACAGACTACACTGTATATCAACCACAAGTGTTTTTTGACACAGCCAACTTTGTTGACTCATTAGGGAGCTTTCGATTGCATGACTACGGTAGGACGTAGCAAGTAATGATGTCACTAAGTCATCTGCGCATGCGAAAACGTTAAGGTGACCTCGTCGAGTAGATTCTGGAACGCAATTTGGCCAAATCTACGTATGCAAAGAACATAGGACGCCAGGTAGGATGGTCACGCATGAGTGATTCCGTTCTAGTGTCGCGTCGTCGCACAAATCGATTGTGATTTTAATAGCAACTCTCGAAATAAACATTTAGCTTCTTGTGTAAAATTTTGTCTTGTTTCATATTGCTACTAAAGAAGGTGATTATACTTTTTAGGTTCATTATGGTTTCTGTTGATTTGAGTTACATAAACATTCAAATATATTTTAGCATTTTTAAAGTTATTAAAAGTTTACTTTTAGAATAGTTATTACTGTATCAGCTTTAATGATAAATGCATTCTAAATATTTGAAAATGATGTGAACAATATCTTACAGACTACACTGTATATCAACCACAAGTGTTTTTTGACACAGCCAACTTTGTTGACTCATTAGGGAGCTTTCGATTGCATGACTACGGTAGGACGTAGCAAGTAATGATGTCACTAAGTCATCTGCGCATGCGAAAACGTTAAGGTGACCTCGTCGAGTAGATTCTGGAACGCAATTTGGCCAAATCTACGTATGCAAAGAACATAGGACGCCAGGTAGGATGGTCACGCATGAGTGATTCCGTTCTAGTGTCGCGTCGTCGCACAAATCGAAAGCTCCCTACTGACTTCTTTAGCTATGTGATTGGTTCAAATTACATTTTCTAGGTAATTTTGTGTGCTTCTCATTTTGTAAGAATTTGGTTTTACTAGGTCAGCAATGGGCAGCAACAACAACGGAAGGCTTACTTGTTTACTCATTGGATAGTAGCTTAACCTTTGACCCATTTGAATTGTCTGTTAATGTCACACCTGATGCTGTTTTGAAGCAACTACATGAGGG